TGTCCCTGGAGTCACACCAGTGTCACACAGTGCATCCCTCTCCCTGGGGTCACACCAGTGTCACGCCAGTGTCTCACAGCTTTCCCAGCTGGGTCCCTGTGCTTGGTGTCACACTGGTGTCACACCAGTGTCCCAAAGTGGATCCTTGTCCCTGGTGTCACATCAATGTCACACAGTTCTCTTGCACTGGGTCCCAGTCCCTAGTGTCACACCAGTGTCCCACCAGTGTCCTACAGCTTTTCCACACTGGTCCCTGTCCCTGGGGTCACACCAGTGTCCCACAGTGGGTCCCTTGTCCTTGGTGTCACACCAGACCCAGACCTCTCCCAGACTGGGTCCCTGGTGTCACAGCAGTGTCCCACAGCTCTCCCACACTGGTCCCTGTCCCTGGAGTCACACCAGTGTCCCACAGCTTTCCCAGCTGGGTCCCTGTGCTTGGTGTCACACTGGTGTCACACCAGTGTCCCAAAGTGGATCCTTGTCCCTGGTGTCACACCAGTGTCACACCAGTGTCACACCTGTGTCCCACCAGTGTCCCACCAGTGTCCCACCAGTGTCACACCAGTGTCAAACCAGTGTCCCACCAGTGTCCCGGAGCTCTCCCACCCTGTGCATTCCCACAGGCAGGGCTGGGAAATGCTGGCTGGGAAGTGCCAGTTCCCCATCCCTTGGTCCCACCTGAAGTGTCTCCAGCACAGGAATTGCTGTGGGGGTTTGGCCTCGGGGCTGGGGCTGGGCTGCTGCCCCCACAGCCCCAAGGAGCAGCACGGCGGGCTCTGCCCTCAGCCCACACCTCCTCCTCAGTCCCGGGAGGGTTTGCTTGGCAGGGATCTCACAGCTCATCCCATCCCACCTCTGCCACGGGCAGGGACACCTGCCACTGTCCCAGGCTGCTCCCAGAGCTGTTGGACACCCCAGAGCTGTTGGACACCCCAGAGCTGTTGGACACCTGGAGATGTTGGACACCCCAGAGCTGTTGGACACAGCTCTGGGAGCCAGAGGCAGTGCTGAATGTTGCTGTCAGGCCAGCAGTTTGCACACCCTTTGCTGTCCTGGGAGGCCGAGGTGTTCCAGGCTCACAGAGGAGCTGTTTGTTTCTGGAGCCCTTCCCAGTGTTGTGCTGGGCTGAGGGAGGAGCTGGGCTGGAAAGAGCTGTGCTCAGAGGCACAGCAGGAGCAGGCCATGCTCCTGTCTCAACTAAAAACCCAGGAGCACTGCAGCACCGCTGAGAAATTCCTTCCCAGCACAGCTTTGAGGCAGGGCAGGTGTCAGGGGGGAGCTGATGGATTTGCTGCACCATGGAAAGCACCAGGACACACATCCGGGGGTGTGGGCAGCTGCTGCTGTGCCAAGGGAGGTGAGGAGGTCCCAGTGGTGGAAGTCACTTCTTCTCCAGGAGCTTTGTCCCCAGGAGGGGATGGGATCACCTGCAGTTCTGGAGGCGATGTGGCACTTTGTGATGTGGTTTAGTGTGCGTGGGGACATTTGGCTGAAGGTTGGACTTGATGATCTTGGAGGGCTTTTCCAGCCCTGATGATTCTGTGATCCCCTTGGTGGGACTGTGGTGTCTGGGGAGCGTGTGCTGTGTGCTTCCTGCCAGGCACAGCCATGGGGTGCACCTGATGTCACCAGGAGAGCTGAGGGACAGTGTCCTGTGCCTGCACCCCTGCACTGGCTGGGTGTCACCAGGAGAGCTGAGGGACAGTGTCCTCTGCCTGCACCCCTGCACTGGCTGCTCTGAGGGTCCCTGGAGCCAGAACAGTGGTGTCAGAGGGACAATCACGCTGGCTCGTTGCTAAGGGACCATGTTTTGTGTCTCCAGCTCCCCACCTGTACCATCCTGTTGCCTCCTTGTCCCTCCCTCTCTCCTCTGGCCCCTGCTGTTTCAGCTCTGGGGTAGTTTCCCCCCACCTCCTGCACCCTGACTTTCAGCCTGGCTTTCCAGGCTGCAGCATCAGCCCCTTCCTCCCTATCTCAGCCATCCCAGTCACCCTCAGAGCATCTCTGCTGGTGTCACAGCCCTTCCCTGAGCAGAGGGGTGACGGAAATGGGAAGATCCCCCTTTGCAGATCCAGGCTCCCATCCAGAAGTGCACAGCCCTGCTCACATCCCACACCCCCTTTCCCACCAAGCCACGGCTGTCACTTCCTGGGAGAGGATTGCCAGGGAGGTGCCGAGTGTATTTTTAGCTTTGCCGTTCATGTCTGATAAGTGTTTTGACCTTTTTGAGCAGAGCTAATCATGCTGTCTGCTCCTCATTGCATCTCAGCTCGTGCTCTGCCTGTCAGGGAGGAGCTGCAGGCTCCCCACAGCCCCCCTGCCATGGTGGGAGGGGTCCCTTACCTGGGAGCCCTCAGTCTGTGCCAGGTGCGTGCCCTCAGCAGCCCTGCAGCCTCGGGGGTGTGCCCTGCGAGGGGGTGGCACTGGAATTCCCTGGGGCAGGGTGCTGGGTGGGAATCGCAGGGGATGGGCAGGGTGGGCAGGTCAGGGTGGGCAGGGTGCTCAGGGTGGGCAGGGTGTTTAGTATGGTCAGGGTGGGCAGAGTGGGCAGGGTGCTCAGGGTGCTCACTATGGTCAGGGTGGACAGGGTGGTCAGGTCAGGGTTCTCAGGGTGCTCAGGGTGGGCAGTGTGAGCAGCCTGCTCAGCCTGCTCAGCCTGCTCAGGGTGCTCAGGGTGCTCAGGGTGCTCAGCATGCTCAGGGTGCTCAGGGTGCTCAGGGTGCTCAGCCTGCTCAGCCTGCTCAGCATGCTCAGGGTGCTCAGCATGCTCAGGGTGCTCAGGGTGCTCAGGGTGCTCAGCCTGCTCAGGGTGCTCAGCACGCTCAGGGTGCTCAGGGTGCTCAGCACGCTCAGGGTGCTCAGGGTGCTCAGGGTGCTCAGCCTGCTCAGGGTGCTCAGCATGCTCAGGGTGCTCAGGGTGCTCAGCATGCTCAGGGTGCTCAGGGTGCTCAGCCTGCTCAGGGTGCTCAGGGTGCTCAGGGTGCTCAGCATGCTCAGGGTGGTCAGCATGCTCAGGGTGCTCAGGGTGCTCAGGGTGCTCAGCATGCTCAGGGTGCTCAGGGTGCTCAGCGTGCTCAGGGTGCTCAGGGTGCTCAGGGTGCTCAGGGTGCTCAGGGTGCTCAGCACACTCAGGGTGCTCAAGGTGCTCAGGGTGCTCAGGGTGCTCAGGGTGCTCAGGGTGCTCAGCGTGCTCAGGGTGCTCAGGGTGCTCAGGGTGCTCAGCCTGCTCAGGGTGCTCAGGGTGCTCAGGGTGCTCAGCATGGTCAGGGTGCTCAGCATGCTCAGGGTGCTCAGGGTGCTCAGGGTGCCCAGGGTGCCCAGGGTGCTCAGGGTGCTCAGGGTGCTCAGGGTGCTCAGCATGCTCAGGGTGCTCAGGGTGCTCAGGGTGCTCAGCCTGCTCAGGGTGCTCAGGGTGCTCAGGGTGCCCAGGAGGCTGGGCTGTCCCTGGCTGGAGGTCCCTGGCCATGTCAGCTGATGTCCAAGCCCTGGGATCACTCCAGGCTGAGGATGAGGAGCTGGAGCATCCCTTGGGCTGCTGGGGGTGAGGGCTGGCCCTGCCCTGCCGTGTGCTGGGACCCAGAGCCCCCCGGGCTGGGCTGATCCCCCAGCGTGGGCAGCAGCCAAGGGGGGATTCTGCCCCTCTCAGAGCTGCCCCTGCCCTGGGCCCTGCAGAGGAGGAGCTGGAGCTGCTGCAGAGAGCCCAGAGGAGGCTCCAGGGGGATCAGGGGGATGGAGCAGCTCTGCTGGGAGGAAAGGCTGGCACAGCTGGGATTGCTCAGCCTGGAGAAGAGAAAACTTTGTTATGACCTAATTGTGGCCTTGCAGTGCCTGAAGGGGCCAACAAGAAAGATAGAGAGAGTCGGTTTACAAGGGCCTGGAGTGACAGGACAAGGGGGAATGGTGACAAACTGAAAGAGAAAAGGCTTAGACTGGGTGTTGGGAAGAAATTCTTTACTCAGTGAGTGGGCAGGCCCTGGCACAGGGTGCCCAGAGCAGCTGTGGCTGCCCCTGGATCTCTGACAGTGCCCAAGCCAGGCTGGACAGGGCTGGGAGCACCTGGGGCAGTGGGAGGTGTCCCTGCCATGGCAGAGGGTGGAACAAGATGATCTTTAGGGTCCCATACAACCCAGGCCATTCTGGATTTCTATTCCATGATGCCTGTGCTGGCTTTTTTGCCTTGTTTAAATACAGCACTTTTTCCAAGGGACACATTTTGCCTCCACTCAGGTGCTCAGGGGTGCCGGGGGGCTGTGTCCCAAGGACAGCGCACCCGGGCAGAGTGTGACATTTGTCCCTGGCGTGGCACCACAGCTGTCCCCCTGCCAGCAGCCAGGCTGAGGTGTGGCAGCAAAGCACCCAGAGGGAGCATCAGCAGCCTGGGGACCACCGTGGTGGTGGTGACAGGGAGCTAAACCCTCACCTGAGCTAAACCCTCACCTGAGCTAAACCCTCACTGCAGCTGCAGCCAGCCTGGGCATCCCACAGAAACGCTGGGGCTGCCTCCTGGGCTTGCAGCAGTCCCTGCCACGGTGGGTTTGGTGCTGAGGGGCTCTCAGAGCTGCTCTTACACCCTGGCTTGGCTGGGCAGAGCCCCGGGCTCTGTGCCACCTGCTCAGCCATCCGTGCCCGGGCTGGGGGCTGTTCTGCTGGGACAGCACTGCTGCATGGCTGCGTGGGGACATGCACAGCTGCAGGCAGGGCGGGCTGAGCTCCGGGCTTCCCTGGGGCCAGCCCTGCCAGCCAGGGCCGGGGGGGCTCTGAGCATCGTGCCAGGCCAGCCTCCAGCCCACACTTGCTCTTGCAGCCTGGGAAATTAGGCAGAAAATGCTCCGATTGAGTGTGAAGGCCTCTGCTGTAATTTGGAGCGAGCAGATGACACGCACTCGTCGTCGGAGGGAGATGAAAGCTTTTAGAGCTGGTGAGCACTAGCAAAATCTGTGAAAATCTTTTTTTTGTCAGGAGTGGTAGATACACAGGCAGATGAAAGACAGAAGATAAAATTAGCCCGAATGCTACAGAGAGAAAGAGGGAAGGAGGAACAGGGAGGGGGAGGAGGATATTTCTCAGGAGACTCTTGGCAGGGAAGGTTTCAACACTGGTGACTCAAAGGCAAAGGGGATATATATATATATATGTACATGTGTGTGTGTGAATGAGAATAAACGTGTGGGGCTGTGTTTGGCTGTGCTCCCACAGCAGCAGCATCACCTGGGGCTGATCCTTTTGGCATTAGGAGCTTGTTCCCATCTCTGCTGTCACAGGCAGGGAGCCCTGCTGCCCCTGGCCCCTCCAGCCACGGTGGGAATCCAGGGTGTCCACGGCTGCTCTTGGAGGACACAATCCTGCCTCCAACAGGAGAAACCACAGTGCCCACTCCTGCGGATGGTGTGAATATGCTGACCAGCGTCTCATGCTCTCTGAGGTGACTTTAATTCCATTTTTCCCGTGGTTTGGTGGCTAAGATGGAAGCGTGCAGCTCCAGGCTGCAGTGGGGCCGCTGCGCTCAGAGGGGCACGAGCAGCAGGAGATGCCCTGAGCACTAATCCTGGCTGCCAGGGGCTCGTTGCTGTGGATCTTCCCCTGGGCTGTCCAGTGGTGAGGCAGGAGGGACTGGGAGGTCTCACCTCTGCCTGCAGGTGACTGATCTGGGTCCAAAACCCTTCCATGGCTCCTGCCTTGGCCGCTGGAAGGGAAGGAATGCTGGTGGCTCTGTGGGACACTGCCCATGAGCATGCTGCATCCCAAAGCATCAGTGGGGTCGGGAGAGAAGGTCCTGGTGGGATGACTCCCTGAGGTCACAGCCAGCCCTGCTCCCCTGGCAGGGTTGGGGTGCTCTGAGCCTCTCGCAGGCCTTGGGGGCATAGGAAAGCAGAGGGGCAAAACCCCTCCACCAATCCCTTTGTGTCCCCTCCGTGGTGGTCAGCAGTGGGGTGAGGGATGTACGCCAGGACATGGAAGGAGGGGGAAGCGCTCTCAGGTCTTGCTCTCTTCACTGGTGCCTCCCAAAAGTCTTTCCCCCAGCCCAGGGACAGTTGTTGCTGCCCAAGGACAGGCTGCTGCCACCAGCGCTGATGCAGATGTGACACCCCATGGAGCGTTCTGCCCCTGCTGGGACACTGCAGCCAGACTTCGTGTGAGAATGCTGAAGGGCAACCCTTCAGGGGGTGGCTGTGAGGATGCCTGAGGTCCAAAACCACCCCTCCCCACCAGCCAGACCCCGCGGGCAGCCGGGACGCCGCGGGTGCTCCCCACCAGCGCAGGCAGCGGAGGTTTCCCCTTGTCCTCAGGATGCATCCCAGGAGCTGCGGCAGCAGGAGACTCCCCGAGCGCAGACACCCACCCGTGTGAGTCACAGCAGCGCTGTGACAACCTCAGCCTCGCAGCGCTGCCTCCCCCGCTTCCCCAGCGCGGAGTCGCGGCGCGGGCAGCTGGGGACACGGCCTGGCTCCTGCCCCGGCGCTTGTCACCTGGGGACACAGCCTGGCTCCTGCCCCGGCGCTTGTCACCTGGGGACACAGCCTGGCTCCTGCCCCGGCCCTTGTCACCTGGGGACACAGCCTGGCTCCTGCCCCGGCCCTTGTCACCTGGGGACACAGCCTGGCTCCTGCCCCAGCGCTTGTCACCTGGGGACACAGCCTGGCTCCTGCACCGGTGTTTGTCACCTGGGGACACAGCCTGGCTCCTGCCCCGGCGCTTGTCACCTGGGGACACAGCCTGGCTCCTGCCCCGGCGCTTGTCACCTGCGCTGGAGGGAGCGGGTGGTCCCGCAGGTGGGCTGGGGGATGGATGGGGCTGTCCTGAGCCGAGGTGATGCTCTCCCTCTCTCAGCCCCAAATGATCAGGCTAGCCCAGAGATACGAGGCCTTGAGGGGAGGAACATCAGGAGATGGGCAAAGGTTCAAAAGAGGCTCTCGCCCCGATGTGGTTGTCCAGCTCTTTATTCCATGAGGTCCGGGGGGAAAGAGTGGGGTAAAGAGAGCGAACAGGAAGGGTCATGGCTATTGTAAATGCAGGTGAACCCAATGGGAAGAAATGACGATGTCTGACTCAATTCAGAAGGCTGAATGATTTCTTTATTATAACTATGCTAAAATACATTAATATACTATATAAAAGGAGGATACTAAAATTACATACTACTTTCTCTGACTCACACAACTTGTGACCCTCTCTGAGAGCCCAGCCCCAGGTGGGTTGGATTGGCCATCAGACTCAAACAATCCTCACCAGAATCCAACCAATCACTCACTCCAGGTAAACAATTCTCCAAACACATTCCACATGGGAAAAACAAGGAGCAGAAATAGAAATGGTTTTCTCTTTCATTTCTCTCTGTGCACCTCTATAAAAATCCTGAGAGGGAGAGAAATGTGCTTGCCACACATGGCCTTATCCAGGCTCTGGACAGGGAGGGCTCCTTGGGTCTCCGCCAGCCCCATCAGGGCAGGAAGGAGGAGACCAGGGTTGTCTGATCAGAGTCACAGGGGTCCCTGGAATGGGGAAAAGCACAGCCCGAGTGCTCTGTACCACCGGGGATGCCCGGGGCAGTGCAGGAGCGCGGTGCCAGCGGTGGAACCCTCGGTGTGTGCTCGGTGGTGCGGGTGGCTGAAGGAAAGGGATAAATAACCCAGCCATGGAAAAGAAGCATTGGCCAAAGGCTCCCAAGAAGCCGTCTGTGGTTGCCAGCTGCAGCCCCCGTTCCCTGGCTCGGTTATCCCTCTGGGAATGACAGCAGGGATGGCAGCTCTGCAGCCCGGCACAGACACAAACCTCTCCCTCCTCTGCTCCTCCCAGTGCTCCGAAATGCCTTTCACCAGCAGCACAATTAGAAACCTAATTCCTATTTCTCCTGCTCAGCTAATTGTCTGTGGACAATTTGATTGTAAGAGTGCCCAGTGATGCAGAATAACCATCTTATTTCTGCTAGACATTGCCTTTGCAATTAGCACTATTGATTGCATCGCTCTGCTCTCTCACCTGCCGGGGCCCAGGGGAGGGACTCTCATCTGGTTCATCCCTCCCAGGGTGGCGAGGCCACCTTCCCTCTGTGACAGCGCTGTCCCTTGGTCACCGGGTCCTGCTGTGGGCTGGGCAGGAGAGTGAGGGCTGTGCTCCAGCCTGGCTCCACAGGGAGGAATTTCTCCCCTCAGGGCTCGCAGCCACCCAGGAGGATCCCTCCAAAGCCACCAAGGAGCTCCCACTGAGGACACATCTCTGCCTGCAAGGAACTCTAACCAGCCAGGCTGGCTAGAGCTGGGAGGGCTTGGTGGTTTTTTTTTGTTTTTTTTTTTTTTAATATGTAAAAACAAAAATTCAGATTTGACAACACCAAAAGGTTCTGGATGAATATGTCGATTATGCTGAATGGTTTGTTTGGAGGGAAAAAAAACCCCCAAAAGATCAAAACATTTCATTTCAGCCTATTCAGATTGAAATGTTTTGATTTTTTTTTTCCTCGTCCAAATGACTTTGTTTCAAAGTTTCCCTTAATTTTATTTTGCTAAACATCAAAAAGATTTCTGTGAAATGGTTGTGGTTGGAAGGAAATGCATTGGCTTGGGCACAGCCAAACCTTTGGTGTAACCGCCACCCTAAAAATTCCCTCCTCCCTTTTCTTTATTTATTAGAATTTCCAGGGATTTTTGTTTTCAGGCCAGCTCTAAACGACACATGGTTGTGCTTTCCCCGTCACAAAGCACTCACAGATCTGCTGTAGACAGGGGTTGAGTTGTCCTGGGGGGCTGCAGAAGACCTGCTCTGCCTCCCAGCTGCAGCCCTCCCTGCCAGGGCTCCGCGTGGGACCCACTTTGTGCCCAGGGGCCGGGGCAGACGCTGGTTTGGGAACCAGCCGGGCTCTGCCTGCTCTGGGCATCACCTGGGGACACCCAGGGCGTGCTGGTGCTCAGGGAAAGCAGGGCTGGCAAGGAGTGGGGCCCCTGGTGACGCAGCGGGATGTGGGGGCAGCTCCCAGCTCTGCTCCAGGAGCTGGAGGAGAAGATGCTCCTCTCCTTCAAGCCATTGAGTCACCTCCAAACAGCCGCCAGCTCCAGGCTCCAAGGCCCAGATGGCTGCAGCAGGGAAGAGCTTTCCAGAGCAAGAGGAGCTGGGTGTAAATAGCAGACTGTGCAATTAACTCCCCCCACAGCAGATTGCTGTCCCAGCAGAAGGAACAGCCAAAGTGTTCCGTCCATCCTGCTGCCTCCAGGCACCTGGGAGGTGCTGCTGGGCCACACCTGCAGGGCAAGGACCCAGTCCTGGAGGTGCTGCTGGGCCACACGTGCAGTGTCACAGCAGTGTCTGTCAAAGTGGCTGGCCATGAGACTCCAGCCCCACACTCCTCTGAGTGACACTCCTGGTGCAGGTGGCTGATCTTGCTGTTCTCATCCACCTTGTAGTACTTGAGCACTGCAAACTTAACCTTCTTTTTTCTTTCTTGTTCTTGTCCTCCTTCTTCTTCTTCTTCTTCTCCTTCTTCTTCTCCTTCTTCTTCTCCTTTTTCTTCTCCTTCTTCTCCTTTTTCTTCTCCTTCTCCTCCTCCTCCTCCTTCTCCTTCTCCTTCTCCTTCTCCTTCTCCTTCTCCTTCTCCTTCTCCTTCTCCTTCTCCTTCTCCTTCTCCTTCTCCTTCTCCTTCTCCTTCTCCTTCTCCTTCTCCTTCTCCTTCTCCTTCTCCTTCTCCTTCTCCTTCTTCCCCTTCTTCCCCTTCTTCTTCTCCTCCTTCTTCTTCTTCTTCCTAGCACCACCACGAAGTCTCAGCCCCAGGTGAAGGGTGGATTCTTGTTTAATGTTGTAGTTGGACAATGTGCATCCATCCTCCAGCTGCTTCCCAGCAAAGATCAGCCACTGCTGATTCTGAGGGATGTCCTTCTCATCCTGGATCTACATTTTCTGTAGTATCAGAAGGTTCAGCCTCGAGGGTGATGGTTTTCCCCATGAGGGTGTTCATGAAGATCTGCATGGTGAGGAGGGCAGGGGCAGTGCAGGGCACTGCAGGCAACTGCAGGGCATGGACGAGCTCCTGTTCTGGAGGTGCTGATGGGCCACACCTGCAGAGCACAGACCCAGCTCCTGTCCTGGAGGTGCTGCTGGGTCACACATGCAGGGCAAGGACCCAGCTCCTGTCCTGCAAGACCTGCTTGGGATCCCAGCTCCATCTCCACCGCCTGGACACCCAAAATTCCTGCAGCCACGATTTCCCACTGGATGGAGCATTGTCGGAACTCAAAATGTCCCTCAGACATTTTCAGAGGTTCCAGGCCTTGGTCAGAAGCATTTTAGACCCTGGCAAGCAGCTGAAAACAGCTGTGATCTTGAGTTTGAACCATGGAATGAATTACCAACTTTGAAGGTGGAACAAGTGGTCACAGAGAGTTAGATGGTATAGTAAAAGTAGTCACAAATTAGAGGGGAAAATTTTTTAGTATTGTACAGGGGGGTTTTAACACCTGTACAGGGGGGTTTTACTTTGTACAGGGGGGTCAGGAGTTCTAAGATGGAGGAAAGTGGGCCTGATCCTGTTCTTCCTCCTTCTTCTTCCTTACCTCCATGTTCTTGGTGATGTTGGCATTTTTCTATTGGTTTAGGCTGGGGACACACTGTTCAACGTAGATGATAGATATTGGCACATTATTGTAAATATAGTACATGTAGTTTCTGATATATAATGTTTGTACCATCCCACTGAGGGGCAGAGCCCCACACGCTGCCCTGCAGGACAGAGCTGCGGCAGGGCAGCAGAACTTGTTATAGATAAGCAAAAATAAACAACCTTGAAACCAGCACAGACGAATTATGGCTTCTTCTTTGGCAACGGGGCAGAAAGACAGAGACTTTCTACAATCTCGGAATCATCAATACCACAGATTCCGACAGAACATGGCACATCACAAAGCATGGGTCATCCTGGGCTGACCTGGGTGCCCCAGCAGCTGGACACAGGGAGCAGCCTCAGGCTGGGAGAGCTGGGAGGGAGGAGCAGCTCCAGGGGAGGGAGAGGTGCTAGGAAGGAATTAACGTCTGGATCTATAAAACACTTGGTCCCAATTATTATAATGCACTGATTAGGGGAACTCAATAGTTCTGCTGGTGGTTAATGGCAGTAATTACCCAGATATGACTGCAGTGGCAATATTAATAACTCTGGGCCATTAGTATTTGTGAGCAATGAGCAGAATACACATCCCTGAGCCTCGGGCTGGGCCTGTCTCTGCCCCCCAGCTGCAGCCTGGAGCAGGGCTGCCAGATGCCAGGGTTCAGCTGCAGAGGAAGCAGATCCAGGACCTGGCTGATGTTTGCCAGCTCCAGAAGAATCACAGAATCATTAGGGCTGGGAAAGACCTCCGAGCTCACTAAGTCAGCCTTCAACTGAATCCCACTACAGCCACTAAGCTGTAGCGTCACCAGTATCACCTGTGCCATGTCTACTCAGCTTTTGAGCCCTTCCAGGGGTGGTGACTTCACCACTGCCCCGGGCAGCTGTGCCAGGGCTTGACCACTCTTTCAGTGGAGAAACTTCCATAATATCCAACCTGAACCTTGTCTGACACAAGTTGAAGTCATTCCCTCTGCTCCTGTCCCTGTTCCCTGGAGCAGAGCCCGACCCCCCGGCTGTCCCCTCCTGGCAGGAGCTGTGCAGAGCCACAAGGTCCCCCCTGAGCCTCCTTTGCTCCAGGCTGAGCCCCTTCCCAGCTCCCTCAGCCTCTCCTGGGGCTCCAGCCCCTTCCCAGCTCCGTTCCCTTCCCTGGACACGCTCCAGCCCCTCAATGTCCTTCTTATCATGAGGGGCCCAGAACGGATCCAGGACCGGAGGTGTGGCCTCAGCAGTGCCAGCACAGCGTGGCTGGAGCCACCTGTGCAGACAAGGACGTGGCTTCTTGTCCCTCTGGTGAGCCTGGCACAGTCCCTGCTGGGAGCAGAGGTGGCTGGCTGCGATGGTGCTGCTGCAGCCTGGGGCTCCGGGTCACTCGGGGTGGCACAGCCTGTCCCCTGTCCCCCTGCAGATCTGCTGTCCCGCAGTGTGGGTCACTGCCTGGAGCGTTCTCTGGGGAGCTGGGACACGGACAAGGGCTGGCTCCACTGCTGGAGAGGAGGGAGCTGGGCTGGATCCACTGCCATGGGTTCACAAGCATGATGAACAACCACCCCTGGGCAGGGAGGGCGGGGAAGGGCCCCTGAAAGCGGCTTGGAGGAGGCTCACAGGGCGAGGGCTGGCAGCGGTGGGTGCTGCTTCTCCGAAGAGGCTGGAGCAGCCACCACTGGTGTCACCCACCCACCAGGGCGCTCCAGGTGCCCGCTGAAGGTGCGCACCGAGGGCACCACAAGTGCCGTATGTGAATGATCCCACCAGACTCCAAATCCCCCATCCCTGAGCCTCGGGCTCGCTGGCACGGAGCTGTGCTGCCTTGTCACACTGCAGAGGGGACAGCCAGCTCAGGAGGGGGAAGCGGCTTCTCCATCCCAGCCCAGCCTCCCGCTGGCGTCCCCGGGGTCAGGTTACCCTTGTGGTTGTCTCCGGTTGTCTCCTCGGCTTCCCCGCTCCCCTCCCCATCTGCGGCCGAGACACCCGGCTCCTCCCGCCTGGCATCTGCGTCCCCCGGGGACCCCAGCCCGGGGCTGCGGCTTTCAGCTATTTCTCAACAAAGGGGCGATGAATTGCTGCCTGCTTTGGTCCTCAGCAGAGGATAACTCCCACCAGCCTCCAGGAGCTTGGGGATGGTCAGGACAGCAAGGACATGCTCCTGGTGAGGTGCTGAAACTCCATCCAGATGCTCCTGAAGGCCAGGAGGGTTTGGTGATGGGGACAGCAGGGTTTGGGATGGGGACAGCAGGGTTTGGGGATTGGTAATGCCTCAGGTTGGAGCTTTTCTATGTTTCACATTCTGTGCTGCTTTAGTGTGTGGGTCTGGACTCACATTATGGGATGCTGAGCTCTCTGCACAGAGCAGGGACACAAAACAATTCCTGCTCCAGCTGGGCACCAAGGACAAATGATCCAAATCTCAGCCCAGGAGCACAAACACCGTGGGCTGGAGAGAGAAAAACAAGCAGGGTGGGACTGCCTGGGCTAAAGCTGGAATGGGACAATGAACTCCAAGGTGCCAATGGAGCAGAACTGATCCCAGGGAGAGACCTTGTAACCAGTCATCCATTTTTTGGGACCATTTTGGTTCATTTGGGTGCAGCCCTGGCTGGGCTCTTGTGCTGCCCAAGGTGGATCCATGGAGGAGATCCTTTAACAAATCCCTGCTTTGTTCTTTAGCTCTGTCTGGTCTCTGTTCCAGGTCAGCCTTCTCAAGGCATAGGTGGACAGCAGGGTTTGGGCATGGGGACAGCAGGGTTGGGGGACAAGGAACAGCAGGGTTTGGGCATGGGGAGAGCAGGGTTTGGGGATGGGGACAGCAGGGTTTGGGGACAAGGAACAGCAGGGTTTGGGCATGGGGACAGCAGGGTTTGGGCATGGGGACAGCAGAGCTTTGGCCGTGACCAGGCAGGGCTGTCCCTTCCCCTGTGCACCCCAAACCCAGCCTCCATCCTCCTCCCAACACCCAGGGAACTTCGGCGCTCGCGTCTCCAGCTCAGCCGTAATGATGGGAGTATTTAGCACACAGCGCCTGTATTCAAACACTCCGGCAGGCAGAGACACCCTGTCACCCAGGTGACACGTCTCTTACATGCTGCCAATTTAGCAGCAAGACGCCCCTGGAATCTGGGTTAGCGCTGGCAGCCGCTGCCGGTGGCCCCGGCTCTGAGGGGAGGGAGGGATGGGAGCCCACGGCATCCCCCGGCCCCACGGACCAGCCCCCGGCACACCCGGCTTGGGTGGGAGGCCTTGGCATCCCCTCCAGCAGGGAGGCTCAAAGCAGGCAATTTAAAATTAAAATTAAAATTAAAAATAATAATAAAAAAAATCTCTGGTTATTTTCCACTGAAAATTTGTGAAGAAATCTTCTTTTTCTCCCTTTCCCTGCATCACCATCAGATTCTCCCCTCCCTGCCAAACCCTTTCCTTGCACAAATGAAAAACCCCAAACAAAAGCTGTCAGGACAGAAGATAGTGAACATGCCTGGCTTCCCAGCAGCCAAAACCCGATTTTCCTAACCAAGCCCAGAAATATTTTTTACCCTGAGAATTTCCAGACTCTTGGTTCCATTACAAAAAAAGGAAAGCTTTTCCACAGATCCTGCAGAAGTCCCTCAGTGAGCGACCAGTGCTTTGGCATAATTACACAGTGATTAAGCTGTTTGCAGCCGCTTCACTCTGGATGCCAAAGGACAACACCCGGACCCTGTCACACCCCTCTGGGCAGGGGCCAGACCCGGGTTTGGGGTGACCCCATATGGCAGCAGAGCACAGAGGGTGCAAGCACCCCTTGGTTGGTGAGGCCGAAGTGATTTATCCCAAAGGGAGCCGTCCCTGGTTCCCATCCTTGTGTGATGAGGTCAGGTTGCAATTAGGAAATGTCACTGCCTGGAACACCTGGAACCCAAATCTCACCTTTCTTTGGTGAGCTGGAACAGTGAATTACCCCAGGGATTTTTTTTCATGTCTTGTCTTTTCTTTGTGCCTTTACATAATTTCATATTCAATTTTTAAGCTTTGTCAAGGCTCCTTTTGTCCATTCCCTAATTCCTGCTGCCTTTGGAAGTGTCTCAGCTCATGCACCCCCCTGGCCCAGCCCCTCCCGAGGTCTGGGGGCTCCCAGCCCACTCTGTGGGCACTCGGGCAGGCTGGGCTGGGCTGGGAGGGTGGGAGGCTCTGGAGATGTCTCTGCTCCACTCCACGTGCACCAGGAACACGCCGGGATGCTGCAGATGCTCTGCCTTCCCCTCTGCAGAGGGCTGGGGCTCGCGGAGGGCTGCCTACCTTTGTGATCGATAATAACATCGGTAGTTATTCTTGTCAAGAGAAGGTTAATTGCACCTCCTGCCTGGGGGCACCAGCTGATCTCCGCGGGGGCTGGGACGGCATTTTCTGCCTGTGCTCAGCGTTTCCCCAGCCCACAGGCT